CTTGCACGCGTCGGGAAGTCATGATCGCACATACAGAAATGCATGCAGGATCTCTCGGTACTGTTCACTGTCTTTTCGATGAGACGCGACCTGATTCTCAACAGGTGAGCGATCTAATCACTCTGCTTGGCTTGACACACACTCCCATGCTAGGCACCGAGCCTGATCTACAAGATTCTCGTCTGGTGCACTGTTGCGGCAAGTGTCCAGCACGATTTCTGTGCGAAAAGGAGTTGCGTATCCATCTGCGTTACCACACCACATTATTAGCATATTCATGCCAATGGTGCTCGTATGCAGCGCGACAACCGGCGCACCTGTTAGCTCATCAAAAGGCGCACTCATCAGAATATCAAGAGCGTACCAAATATCTGTTGACCTTGTATGGCCATTCGCAGCGTTATCCACCGCCCACGACAGCGTGTGTTGAAGTGGAGAGTCGGGAAAATAATGACAGTGCGTTGAACGTCGCGTGGATTGTTGTTGAAATCAACGAAAATTCAAACAGTTATAACAGTGTCAATGGCACGACCGTTCAAAGGACCGGTCAAGTGTTTACATGTGCTAAGTGTCCGGCTCGTTACTTCAAACTCGATGCTTTGGAGTACCACATGACGCTTCATGGTTCAAACAATCGATACAAATGTAATGACTGTGATTATTCATCGAAAACGGAACAAAATTTATTAAAACATCAGGTGGTACATCGACGACATAATGAAACCAGCCAAGCAACTGCGGAGCTGTCTACCGTAGATTCCGCTTCAACATCCTCTCCCGGATCTCCACTGCAGTCACCTCCGGATCCACAATTTGGTGTCTTTATGCGCGGCAATCCTAATTTCGTTTATCCAGGTTACCTACGGAATGGTCGTTTGAAGGAAAAACGTTATAAGTGTCACAAATGTCCATCCGCTTTTGAAAAGCGTGAACAATATAGAGTTCATCTGACTTTGCATGGTGCGAAACAACGCTATCGCTGCACTACGTGCGACTATTCAGTCAAATATTATGCCAATTACGTACAGCACCTAAAGAAGCATCAGGCAAACGCAGAGGCACAGGCATCTCGGAGACAATTCGAGGATGATCGGATTTCAATCGATAGTGATAGCATTATTGATGTTGTATCGGCATCATCACGTAAGTCATCGAGATCGTCTGCTGCTGCTAATATGACGGCATTTTCCTCCGCTAATAACGCGTCCAATAACAATGCTGCGCTACAACCTTCTAACCAGGATAGGCAGAGTTTATTGTTAATGCAAAAGAAGGGAATCATTTCATCAACGGGCGACGTCGATGTAGAGATGATCCGTTGCCAAAGCTGCCCGTTCTCCACTATCGATAAGGATGTCATGGATTCACACAAGCGTCGCCATGGTATTGAACGCATGACGCCGCCGTGCCCGCATTGTGATTACATTCCGCGAAAAGACGAAAACGTCGGTGAGCATATCAAGCTGCACTTCACAAGACTGTACAAACCTGAATCCTATCTTATTGTCGAAATGCTGACGCTGACAACAGAGAAAATATCTGCAAACAACAAAAATGATAGGGGTCAACGATTGAAGGAACTACTGTTCAAGGAATGCGCCGATGGTAGATTCCTACCACTTACCGAAACGATCAACACTTATACTTTAGGTACTTCCTCTTCAAAAGTAAAAACTGCCAAGGAGAAGATTATTATAGATTCAAACACAGGCGAGACTAAGCATCGTCTTGCCACGTAAATGGAACTTCTATCTAGCAATCGCGATGATATCGCACATATTTATATACCCGTGACATGTTTATATTTTTTCTATGTAAGAAATTGATCCGAAATTTGTAGATGATATATTGTGCGTTCGGAGAGACGCTATTAACGCTACTTCTGTTATTCTATCTTCGTTGTTTATTATTAGATGTAAATCAAGGATAGAATGACATAAATAGCACTAATAGCGTCTATTATCTAAACGCGTCTACTATCTAAACGCACTTATAGTTGAGCTAATGATTGTAGATTAATATGCATTATAAACATCGCGAATGATTGTAGATTAATATGCATTGTAAAAAACCGATGATCTGTTTTTGTTTATAGTTGACGAATAGTAGAATTTATCTTACTTCTAAGGATACAGCACACTTAGCTCTACAAATGCTTCGAAACATTTGATTGACCAACCAGAAGAACAAATTTTATCAATTGTCTACAATCAAAGAATGTTTCAAAATATTTGTAGCATCAAATGAAGATCATAATCTATCAAATAGATTAAAAAAATAAAACTATCTTGTACATATATGAAAGTCATTTTTTCGACAATGTACATGCAGCACATATTATATCCAGTTGTATTCGTTTCTAAGCTTTTTTTGCATTTTATCATTGATTAGAAGATTATTCAATAATTTCGAATTATTTATGTGTGAGCATTCTCTGTACGTTGAAGTTGTTGATACGTCATATTTTGTTGACATGTTGGCCATTGATAAAATCTGTAGAATCTGATAAAAATTCTAAATTGTTTCCATATCATTGGAAAAGATATCTAATATATAAAAATATTTTTCGAAATTTCAAATTCAGTCTTTAAAGTCTTAAATAAATATTTTGAAAATCAAGGATGATTTATAGATAGAAATTAGATCAAAATAAAAATCCTTTCTAAAAAAAAATTCATTCGATGGCGCAATATCCCAAAGTCGAGACAAGGCTTATTTCTCGTATGTCCGTGATGCGCATGCAAGTTGTACAGACATTCGGGACCTACAATTTAATGTCGATACCGAACGACAGTTTGAAAGGTTTTCTTGGCAATAGATACTTTTGTTTTGCCAGACCACCAAAGAGGAGCAATGAGCGCATGAAAATTTCTTGATCTGCATTACGCTCGTGCTAAAAAAAATATAATAAGAGAGAATTTTATTTTCGGTCGAAGCAAATCTTGGTATATAATATGCAAATTTTTGCAAATATATTTTTTAGTTTTGTAAACTATGCATTGATTCGGCTTCAGGCCTACTAGCTGAGGTGATATTTTTCGCAACAAGTTCTTTACAGATTTTTAAGATACTTATTAGCAAAACTAAAACAAATCATTGTTCTCTCTCTCTCTCTCTCTCTCTCTCTCTCTCTCTCTCTTTCTGCTTTCTCAATTTGCGATTGTGTTTTAATTTGACAAATAAAATTTAAGCGTAGTTTATAGAACTGAAGAATTTATGTATTTTTTATTAGCAATAAATGTATGCGCATCAACACCGGAAGTGATTCAGTCTCAGAGTCTTATATAATAAACATAATAAAAGGGCTTTCGAAATTCAAACAATTTAATAGTAAGTAAAGAGCATTAGGAGTCAGCACTGTAAATACTGCATAAAAGTAATAAAATATTAATTATTAAACGACATATCCATATAGTAGTAATTATAAAAAAGAATAGCTGTACGTTTCTGCTCCAATTTGAGTTATTACCAAAATATCAACAGTAAAGATACAATGAACTTAAATATTAATTTTATAACTGAGACATGTATTTGAAAAATTTTCATATGAATATTAAGCATCGAGATTTATTTTGACCGAAAATAGGATTCTTCTTGTTATTTTGTGATTAATTGGCTTGCAATATCACAATCAAACTTAATTAACTAATTTATTTTTTAGATGTAACGACTTTCAAACATTTCTATATACTTTTGGATATACATATATTTGAAATAATTTAAAGTAGTTCGGATATTGTATTGGGTTGTCCGGAAAGTTCGTGCCGATTTTGAAGGAAAATTGAAACGCAGAAGATTTAAATTTTAGTATACATTTATTTAGTATACATTTATTTAAATTTTTTGCGGTACGAACTTTCCGGACAACCCAATATATTCGAAGCAGTTTAAAACAAATATTAAATATATATTGGAAATAATTTGAATCTTTATACAATACGAAAAAAAGAAATTTTTAAAAAGAAATGTCTCTAACAATGGCCATAATAAGGCCATACGATGTTGTAAATATTTATTTGAATCTTTATCGGTCTTGTATCATACATGAAAATAAATGCTCATACTATATATATGTTTATTCCATTTAAAAATGTATTTCATTTATATAGAAAGCTTTGGCTTATTTTGCAAGCTTTTGTAAGCTTCGCTGAATTAAAATTATTTCAACGAAGAGATTTTAAAAGATTTTGTATCTAATCAATGTTATTAAAAATCTTTGTTTTCTGATATATTTCCTTAATACGCATTTAAATAAATTTATATATTTATAAATAAAAATTGAAAGTAATATTAAAATATTAAATGCACCAATTAGCAGCAGACAAACAATTCTGCTTTAATATCTTCATAATTGTTTAAGTTGCAATTTTGTCAATTTCCCGCTTCGACATTACAATCTGACATGTATTTTTGTTTCAAGCATAGTTAATGAAAAAAGGTGCAATTGGAAATGTTACTCTCTTTAAATCTATATAATTTATTCATTTCTTAAATGATATAATGTGTAATAGTATCATGATTTTCATTGTTTTCTTTATACTTATATATCTTTGATCTTCTTTTATTTTTTCTTTATCAAAATTTAAAGTCTTTTATAAAAGAAAATTAACTTTTTAAATTTTTTAACTTTTTGTAATTTAACATCTGGAAAAGAAGATTAGGGAATATAATTTGAAATTTTTGAACATTTGAATGTCCTTGAAATTTCTATCGAAAAATTAATGTATTAATAGATTATAACTTTATATATTCTTAGAAATGCATATATCAGTTGAGTTAACTTAATCACCAATTCAATTAATGAGTTTAGGGAAAATTAATCTCCGAGCAAATCTGCACATATCCCTATCCATTTCGCTTCTTGCGAAGTGTAAAAAATGTAGAGTGAGCGCAGCTGGAGCAGACGCAGCAAACGGACGAGTTCGTCGGGCAGGTATTGTAGATGTCGCATCGCGCAGCATCGAAATGAGATTCGAGATCAATAAGGATAGCGACGACGTCGCGCATGACTGAATTATTTTGCGAATTGCAACAATCCCGAGGAGGTTATGACGACGACCGGGGCCCAGGTCGATTCCATATGATCTCGTCGTTTTGCTCACGGAACAGATAAAAAACGGCACCGGTGTTTACGATCCTCGGGACAGGCAACGGCAACGACGACGATGTTCGAGGGAGCTATAGCGGCATTTTTGAACCGTCTGCTGGGCAGATACGTGGAGGACCTGGACACAGAGCAATTCAATGTTGGTATTTTCTCTGGGGATACGTGCCTCACCGACCTGAAACTGAAGCCGGAGGCTTTGGTATGATATCTTTCTTTTCTAATAATTCAGAGATAATAAAGAAAAAATTCAAAATATATAATTGAATATGTATGTGCATTCCTGATGAATTGTATTTACAGTATCAACTGGGACTACCTATTAGAGTAGAAATCGGTTTGATAGGAAAAATTATTTTGAAAATACCATGGTCTGGACTTTTTTCGCAACCTATTGTGATATGCATAGAGGTATTGAATAATCTATATATAACCATATTTCACAATAACAAGATTTATAAATATATAAATTAAAGTAATTATGCAAATATTATGCTTTATTTTCTTAAGGATGTATATGTAGTAGCAGTACCTGCATTATCTGGTCCATACGACCCAGAAATACAAAAACGTTTGATGAGAGCTGAAAAAAAGAAGATACTTGATGATCTTAAGGAAGATGAAATATTTAGAGCTGGTAATTAAATATTTTTATTTAGAATCATTTATTATTAAAATGCCTTAGTGAGAAATTTATTTCATATCTGTTAGGATTGAATTTTATATATTAAATTTGTATAAGAAAAAGAGTATATTAAAATTTTATAATTGCAATTGAAAAATAATAGATAATAAATAGCTTTTCAATGTTTGATTTTTACATTTAAATTAATTTATCTAATATTTTTATATAGGTCTACCTCCTCAATTATTTGATGGTCTACTAACATCAGTCACAAAGAACTTTCAAATTACTATAAATAATGTACATATTAGATATGAAGAGAAAATATTGCGCAATTTCCTCTGTGCCTGTGGTATATGTATACAAAGTATATCCATAACGACTACTAACAAGTAATTCTACAATGCATATTGTCACGTTTCTTCCAATTATGTGTATTCAATATTGTTATTAAAAATGTATTGAATTCCAGCAAATGGAAGCCCGGGGTATGTGCTACAAACTCGCAAACGGTGTACCAGCTTGTACGCGCGGAATCGCTCAGTGTATACATGGATCATGACACTGAATCCTGTATAAATATACAGGGTAATTGGGACATGTCCAATCTGTTCGCGTGGAAAATTACGATGCAAAGAGCTCTGCAGACGTTCGGGATGAAGAACAAAGAGTTTCAGTTTTGTATGTTTGAGATATTTCTTTTATTAATTACAGAATATATCTATCGTTATCTTGCTTCAAAAGAGATATTCAATTTCCGCTTTGATTTTAATGAAATGTTAACGAATTGTTTTTGTCATAAGTGTTAAAGCCCTTCACGGCCAAGATTAAAGTTATCATACACAAGGGTACGGAAACGCAAGCTTCACGTATGTTAGTCGATATTGTGCTCCAGGATGTAGCAATGCAATTATCTGAAGCGCAATATGCTACGTTTTGTCATATTTATGATTCTTTGCTTCGTGCAACTATTAACAGGTGAATTTACAATATCTAAAATTTTTTCATTTAACGATATATATATTTTTAATAAATTAACGAAACTAATGATTAAAAAACAATATTTATAGGCCACACGCTAAATATCGTCCTGAGAAAACTGTATATGAGGAACCATCATCTTGGTGGAAATACGCGTATAATTTTGTTTTGAATCATTATATTAAGCCATATACTTGGTCACATATAGCCCAACACAGAAGAAATTACAGAAATTATAAAGAGGCGTGTATCCAATGTTTGCAACGACCAAATGATACAGAATTAAAACTGGATATGCAAAAACATGAAGACAGTTTGACGATATTAAATATAGTGATTGCTAGGGAACATGCTAGACAGGAATTGAGAAACAAGGATATCGAGCGAGAGTGCCAAATTACAACAACGAATCCATCGAAAGATGTTGATGCAGAAGTCATATTACCGGATAATGATCAAGCACAAAATGTAACAGGTCAATGCAACAAAGTTGAAAATCAAAATTCATTACCAGAAGGAACAGAAAACTCACCTGTTTTCAAAATAAAATCGGGAAAGGCATTGAAACAGATTGGTGAGCATTTAAATTGTTCTTTCTTGATATATTAATATTAATTAAAACAAAATTGTTACAAGAAATATTTAAGAAAGATTTGTATTGTTCATCTAAAGAATTTTTTTATTTTTTACAGATTATAAATTAAATTTTACTTTGGCAAATTGTTGTCTGAGCCTCTTAAGAAAAGGCAAAGAAATGTTGATCGTAACTATCACACAATTTCTGACTAGTATCGAGGCACGGCCTACGTTATTAGCTTTCAAGATATCTGTTCGTGCTGAAAGTTTTGTAATTGAAGCTATATCGACTGATGGCGATTTGGTTCCTTTGATTACAGTAGATAATATATTAACAGGTAATAAAAGCCTATTTATCTTTGATCTAAACTACTGCAAAGATACTAACTGTAATTATTATATGTGACAGGGAATGTATCCACATATTTTTTGGCGATCGATTTTGAGAAAAATGGATTGAATATGGATCCTATTTTTGAAGTATCCATAAAGTTGGAAACTATTGAAGTGACTTATCATCACGTAATAATATTTTTATTGCTTTAAATAATATTTTGTCTGTGATTTCTAAATTTTACTTATAGATTGATTTTCAGTTTGCTATAGTGGAAATTATAAATTTTTTCAAATTTAACACCAATTACATTCATGATACGATTCGCGGAGTATACAGACTATGGGATTGCGTCAAAAGAAGATATTTGAACTTTGTGGACGATATCATCTCACAGACACTGAGAATCAGCTTTAAAATAGACATTAAAAGTCCTTATATCATATTTTCCGAATACGGATCAGTTCAAAAGTACATATATTTACTACACACGATTGTAGAATTATTTTTAAAAATGTAAACAAATATACGTTTTACATATTATTTTTTAGAGGTGGGCATATACTTGTTCTGGATCTCGGTAACATAATGTTGCTCAACGAGCTCCAAGCAATGAATTTACAGTTGGAAGATGCTACTCTCATGGAATTGGAAGAATTACTTTATGATAGACTCAATATAGTATTCTCCGGCGCGCAAATTTTATTTTGTCATTCAGGCGACGATTGGCGTTCAGCAAGAAAACGGAGTGACTCGGAGTATCATTTGTTGCCTAAGCTGCAAACAAATGTGACTCTTTCATATAGTATTAGACCTGAATATCGTCAATTACCACGGTAATAATTGCATCGTGCAATCTTTTGTTTATATGTCCGTTTCAAGGTTTCAATATATAATGTTCCACAGGACAAAACTCAATGTACACATCTCAAACGTGAAATTGAATCTATCGGAAAGTAAACTGCGACTGCTGGCATATTACTTGAATAAATTGCTAGTTCTATATGAAAACAATATTGAAAAATATAAAGCTACCTTAAAAAGTTCGATTTCCGAACGAAAATCGAGTATTGTTTTTATTTCAACGAAAGAATTGATGAAAGTACAATCTAGTGTATGCTTGCCGTCCGTCTCAATGATGCATAGTGATTTTAAATCAATCATTAAGGAAGTTATTATCAATAATAATGTATCAAAGCTTGACAGGTAATGATTATATTAACACTCAATTTCAATAAAATAAATATGTGTAGAGTTGGCATTTTATCTTTATGCACCGCAAGTTTTAATGCAAATTCTATACCCGCGATAATTCTAAACTTTCTGATTTTAAAAATAGTTTCGTTGATTTAATTGAAAAAAAATCATTTGAAAATTTGAGATACTGACTTTCCATGACACTTCAAAATTCAAAAAAAAAATTTTTATCGTGAAATTTTATAATTCTCGAAGAGTTTTATAATTTCTGATAGGTTTTAACGATTGTTTCTTTAAGTATTTTTAAATAATTTTTAATCGGAACGCTGGCACCTTATATGTTTAAACCTTTAATGTTATTTTTTTAGTTACATCAATGGAACTATTTTTAATATTTCTATTGCAGTTGTAAGTAGAACTTACATTGAAACTTGTAATGCAAAAAGATGAAATGACAATTTCACACACGCACACATAAAATAATTTTAATTTTGTAATAGGAGTGTCGTCTCTTCAGAAGTTAGTGAAGAGGACTTGGAATTATTATCTAAAACAATTAATTTGTCAGGATTTGACGATAATATATCTCCGTGTAATCACATTAATTTATTACTTCGCTTTGCCGTAGGAGAGGCAAGTATTATTTCATATTAAACATCTATATTTTTATTATACAAACAAAATGTCATTGATAGCGATCTGAAATTTAGTTCTCTGTAAATCTGGAAGATATGGCGGATAATCGAGAACAGCCTTACTTAAATTTGAGATTGCACACCTTGTACTATGAAACAGCCATAATGGAATACGGCGTTGCTGTTCAGTTTGGCATTGGATCGATTTTTCTAATTGATAAGACGAATGCTGGCGTTACCGGATCATATCTAGAACTGATATCCACCGATGAGTCGTATGAAGTCCTGGTTGTGTCGTATCGTAAGGTAATTTATGGAGATATGATATTATGTTTTTCATTTTAAAAATATTGATCAATTTTCTCTTCAGGTTAAATCGAATTGTCCTGATTTTAAATCTCATTTCAAAAATATCGAACGCTCGCTGGTTGTGAATCTGCTAAATATCAACATAAACTTTCATAGATCTGCATTGTTGAAAATGAAAGACTACTGGCATAAATTTCAAACGTAAGTAGAACAATTTTTATATGTGACAAATCTTGATAAATATTTCGGAGAAAATTCTTTTAAATAATATATTTTAAATAATCTTTTAATTTTTTTAACACAAATAAAAAATTCTTTTATTTCAGTGTGTGTCATGGTACCCTCTTATTGAAATACGCCGACAAGATATGCGATAATATTATAAAACGAGAACAAAAGAATATTGATCCACCAATTCCACCAGGTATAAATATACTCTGAATATAAAAAATTAAACATACAAATAACATTAATTTATATTTATTAATTTATATTTTATTACTTTTTTAGGCGCAATTAAACTGAACTATTCAACTAGGCTCAGTTCATTAGTGATACGTTTCTGCGATAAAGATATAGATTTAATGGAAATTAAGATTTTGGGTTTAGAAAATGATTGCATTTACAATGCGAATGAGAGAATGGTGTTGCGTGCACATCTTAGGAGCATACTCGCTGAAGATTTGATTGATGATACGCTTTATTCTAAAGTAATTGAATATATCATCTTTTTCTACTATATAATATACATATTATGTATAAACATATGTATATATATATTTTTTTTAAATTTTTATTTAAAGATCTTGATGACTGATGAAGATAAAGTTTTTGATCTAAAATATGTGAGACACATACCAAGATTATATAAATGCTCTGATATCGATACAAATCAGGATGATGTTATGTCGGATGGCACTTTTAAGCTTTCTATTGGACGAATAAATTGCGTGATTATTTCTAAAATTCTATATGATTTACGGGTATAGTATATTTATGTCTAATGTTTGTATTATTATGATTATTGATATTCATTTTAGTTATCTTTATAGAATTTCATAATACCATTTATGTCTACATATTATACGCGTTTCTTATATTACTTGAAAAATAAATTCGTTGGAGGGATTGAACTATTTAAAAGGAGCGCGACGAAACTGCATATTTTTATTGACATACAAGGGCCTACTTTTTTACTGCCACAGAAGAAAGATGCCCCGAGTCTCTTGGTTTTTGATACAGGTGATAAAAAATTATATCCGAAGTATTTGCACAAATTGCAAATTGAGAGTTTAATTTTTATTAAAATATTTATTTTCAGGCGTATTATCGGTTGAAAATTTTTTTAAGAATAGTGGACAGTCAATACAATCAATCAAAACGACTACTACCGATAGTAATCAATTAATAATTGATAATATTTTGGTAAAGTTGAAATCTATGACTGTATCTAGAGCAATTATGACTCTGACTCGAGATTTAGAAGTCCAGGTAAAATCAAATATTTAATTTAGTTACGACAGTTTTTTAAAATTGAAATAATACCACACATGTAATTTCAGGAACCCATTATCGAACCTATACAAATTCAGTTTGATATCAAGAGAAAAACGGAGTATCGTAGCATTATTGAATTTCAAACTTATGGTTTATTCGATATACAAGGAGTTATTGATATCGTAAATATAAATTTAAGTCAGAGAGATCTTAAATCTCTCATATCAGTGTGGCAAGATAACATTTCTAAGATACTATTGCTTAAGAAAATCGGTGAAAATGAAGATAGAATTTTAACACAAGATTCGCAAAAGAATGCTAACCACGACGATGACGTTATGGTGAAGAAACTGGAAAATTTCTTAACGCACAATGAAACAACATTATGCGAAGTCAATATAAAACTTGCGTTGGAGGGTTGGCAATTAAATTTGTTTATGGATACAGAAGAGGTAAATATTCATTTAAATTGATACTTGCTTGAATATTGATACAGGTTTTTTTATATTATTTTATATTATTTTTTGTATTATATTGTAGGTGTTGAGTTCTCCTGTACGCGATTTAAATCACGGTTTATGCAAGCTGGTCTTTGGAGAAACTATAAATACATGGGACTTTTATAGTGACAAGAGTTTGAAAATGAAATTGTCTTTGCAAAGCTGTTTGTTGCAGGATACTCGTAAGGATTCGGTCGTCGAGAAAAGGTATTGATTGTATATGATTGAATGTTGGATAGAACGTTAATACTATCGAGATTTTTCTATCTAATTTCACTATCACAATTTCATTTTTAGAATAATACAATCGCCGGCGATATCCTTAGAAAAGAATTTGGAATCTTGTATTTCCGTATCAATGTCTCCTATAGTCGATATAACATATAGTCGCACTCAAGCAGAGGAAAAGTGTTTCGATGTTCTTATTCAAGATATACGAATTAATTTATCTGTGCCTTTCTTGATGCACTTGGGACGTTATTTTCTAGATTCCTTACCCGGTGAACAAATAGAGAAAGGAATTATTAATCACGGATATGATAATAATAATCAAATGGTAAATATAAAATTATTTATAAATAATAAGTTTACTAAGAATACTTTTAAAATGCTCTTTCTTATAGACATTTCTCTCTCTCTCTCTCTCTCTCTCTCTCTCTCTCTCTCTCTCTTTCTCATTTTCAAAAATATCTTTTAAATATTAATAATCGAATTAATTTCCCAAATTAATTTGATTTCAATCAAGAACCGGAATACTTTAAACGCAGAAATTGACAAATTAAATCACTCCCAATATTTTAAGGAACAGCCAGGTAGTTTATATGCATATAGATGTTGTAGATAAAAATGATTTTCTCTTATACAATACTATTGTATACATGAAATTTTGTACAATGAAGAAAGCAAAAAATGAATAATTTTAATGTATTTAGGTACTTCAATATCAATTAGAATACAAAAACCAGACATCTTTCTATTCGGTGACTTAGAGAAGAGCAGCACTCACGTAATACGAACGCAAGCGGAAGTGTTTATTGAAAGTAGCAGACACAGTCGATCCTCCTCAGTAGTCTGTACGTTGACCAACGTCAACGCCAAGACTAAAGGACAAGGAAATTATGAATCCCCGTGTTGGTTATTACGTCCCTGTGATATAGAAATTTGTAAAAAGAAGTTATCTTGCGGTAATGAAGACATTACTGTTGCTATAAATAGTATTAATATACATCTATCAGCGGAAGTGATGCATACTTTTATTGACGTAAGTATTATGTAACTTAAATGGGAAATGTATCTGAATGTATCTGATATAGAGCGATAATAGATAATAAAATGATTTTTAATTACCTATAAAATCTGGAGTTTAAAATAAGGTTGTTTTAATATCTCTCATAATTAAGAATCACTGTGTATATCGCTGTATATCACATATTTCCAGATATTTCAAGATTTCTTTGAAGTATTAAAACAGTTAAACATCATTATATCGCTAGATATATATACTATGTCTGAATTGATTGTTATAATATTTATGTTCCAGATATTGAATGAAGCGTCGACTTTCTTGAACAGTATTAATTCGAAAACAGACGATGACGGTAATCAGAACACAAACATGCATAATCTTTGGACACCAAGAAAAGTTTCTAGTATACCATATAAAAAAACTGACGAACGTAAGCATTTCGTATAAATCACAGGCGTATTCTATTTGAATTCCTGTTTATATTTTTTAAATAAATTTGTATTTTTATTTTTCGCATTATTTAGGTAACAGAGAATTATATTGTCGCCGCAACGATCAAGTAACATTCAATTTGAGACCTGTGCTAATATGTTTATTGCTGGAAATGGAGTATGTCGTAGGAAGATTTCCAGTAATGAGAATGGAAACTGTCATTACTGCTACCATTAATGATTGGCGCAACAATTTTCATCTTGAATCCAATGTGAAACTTCACGCGTTCTGTTACAATAGAGCTCGTCAGAATTGGGAACCTTTCATTGAATTTTACACGAAAGATGACATAGATTATAGACCATGGGAATTCACAATCAAGGTTCTAATATTATCTGCACTATATATTTTTAATTATTTATTAACACAGTTTTGACCCATAATTTAATTTCTTTAGATATATCGAGGCGAAGCGAATATGATTAATTCTGATTGGACGGATCCTTGCCATCACATAAAGCAAGATCCACTAAAAGAGAGAAAAAAAGATACGCAATACAATAGGGAGGATATGACAGATATGACATTTATTGGACCTGATGTTGATATGATTTCAATTATAAGAAAAGGTAGTTATTTATCTATCAGTTACATGGAAGTGTTATTTAATATATCGAATTATTTAGTAAATATATCTTTTTAATAAACAGAACCTGAAACTTATGATACATACGAGGATGAATCTGACACGGATGATGATGAGAATGATACAAAATTAACAAAAATTTCAAATTATTTATTTAATAGTACCAGTGATGGCGAAGAAAGCGATTCTGACGATTCAAGTACAAATGAGGATGAGGAATTTGAATTAATACTGGATTGCAATCCTGAATGTTGTACGTAAATTCGAGATCTCGTGCAAACATATTAAACATTAATGCTAACGTTTTAATTTATATTTTTCGCATAGGCAATCCTGTCGCACATGTACCGACAAAAATGAATCTCACCGCACCATATATCATCATGTATTCGGAGAACAAAGTTAATATTACTATAACGCAAGACATGATTGCAACATGGAATGCAATTTCAAACGCGTTTACACAAGCGAGGAGTGGAATTCCATTTGTACCCACTAATACGCGGGAATTAACTATGTTAAACGACATAGGTCACGCAAGTCGAGTTGAACTGCTTGTTCAAGAGCAAGTGGATGGGAATAACGATATGCGTGTCGTAACTGCATATAATTTTCATGACGGAAGTTCACCAGTCAGTGTGCCTAGCAGTCCTGAGAACGAACAGGCGGATCTCACGAGTCCCCTATGGGCCGGTAAGGAAACCACTACGATCATATCGGAGTGTAAAGCTTTCCCCATCGACTCACCAGTACATATCTATAAATCGATAACCGATGAACTTCTTCGTATCATCTTTGAAGGTAACTTTTGTAAATATATTTCAAAGGTAATTAAATATACAAAATAGATATTTATCTTTTTATCCTTAATGCAGGATTCGAAGACGTGTTAGTGTATTGCCCGAAGAAAGAAACGCGTAATCTTGTAGCACTTCGTCCTGTGAGACATGATGTTCGTTATTACTTGGTGATAGAGGCATCCATAAATAATTTTTTGCATCGTACAATTTGCGTGCGATCTCCATTACAGGTAATGCGATCTCTTATCTATTCGTTTATCATTGCTTTTATCTTTCGCTAATCGAGAGAATATTTCAGTTTCGAAACGAAACCTCATACACCTTGGGACTTTATTACAAGAAAGCGATGATAGACAAATTGAATCTGACGCTAACCGGTGAAACTACAAATCCTTTCGATGATAATGTGAGAATGGCGATCATAGAACCTGACGCAACATATAATATTCCTTTATATATCGCTTATCATTGCCCAATACACGTTCTTCCTGCATATCTAGAGTGCGTAAAATATGAAATTACGATTACAATGTGGATTTTTAAAAGATTGTATTGAGTTGTCCAGAAAGTTCGTGCCGACTAAAATTTAACTTTTAGTATACATATATTAAATTAAAATTTTCTGCGTTTCAATTTTCCTTCAACATCGGTACGAACTTTCCGGACAACCCAATAGAATAAAATAAATAAATATATTAACGAATGTATTATTTATAGGAAATATCAAGTCAGTGAAGAAGGAATTTATTGGAAAGATTTGAGGGGTACAGCAAATGCATTTAAGGATGTATGCTGCGAAGCGAAAGGCGATAATAATCGTAATGTATTCTGTGTCAGAGCGATATGCACGGAACTCCCATTAACGACTCGTCCCTCAGGTTGTCAAGTACCGAATTACTTGATAAATATCGTTCCACCTATTATTTTCAATAATCAGTTACCTTTTGTCATCGATGTCAATATACCTGGCATCAATTACGAGGTGAAAATTGAACCCGGGGAGAAAATAAACATGTATTCTTTAAATCATGGCAATAACGTACAGTTTGTTTTCAAGGTACGTACAATTATCGTTCGAAAGAAACTATTATATATAAATATATTTTTGCTGCATCCTTTTAATTACACATTTTAATTACACCGTCTCAATAACTTTGTATAGATACACAACTATTTAGGCATGTCTTGGATGGGTGCGGTAAAACTAAATATGAATCTGGAGCGCAAATTTGTGTTAATGTCTACAGATAGCGAGTCAGACTTAATGAAGCCTTTTCTGCTGTGCTTAGAATTATGCAAAATTCTCAGTTGGAACATTATTATACAATCACAATATTGGATAATAAATAAATCTGGCTTACCGTTGTTTATCCAGGTAAATCAAACGACAACAAAGACTCCTACGATAAACATATGATTTACTAATAACATTTTTTTTTCTTTTAGGATTGTCATTCTCATATAACATATGAGATGCCGGAGGAGGAGTTAATGGTATTCTCTCAAAAGAACAATAAGAAGAGTATGGTACGATTAAGAGCACATCAATCTGAATGGTCAATGCCATTTGGACTGGACGGGATTACATCGATGTCATTGATCATATGTCGCGATATCGAACGCGGACGAAAGTATCAGATTTTAACAGAGATAGAGAGCTCACGTTTATCACCGATCTTCACAAAGATCATAACATTTCTACCATACTTTTTCATCTGCAACAAAACCAAGAAAGCCTTGAGATTCATGGAAGAGAATGAAGAGGCCGATCTTTGGAACGACCTCTTGCCCGGGCAAGAAATGTCATTCTGGCCCGCCACTGAATCTATGAAGATGAAAATAAAGTGGAGAAATAGCCAATTGGTTTCGCAACACTTTGATATTACGCATGCGGGCAAAACTGTGCTGAGAATGGATAATGGGGTAAGATAGAGACATGTGATCGCTAGTTATGAAACGAGTTATAAACTTTATGAAGAATTTTATTTAATTAATGTTATATTGTGTAACTTAAAAGTTTTTTACAAAGACTTCATAATTCATAGTCGGCACTGTGCGTGGAGATCGAAGGCGGCGTCAGTACTCCGTATCGTACAACATTCCGAAGATATATCACTGGCGATATACCAGTGAGAGTGGATAATCTCTGCGACAAATTATTTCTGAAGCTGAATCAAATTAATTTAGGCCAAGTCGCATTGCTCAAACCATTTCAAAGTTTGTTATATACATGGGACGATCCTACTCAAACTAGAGAATTGATCTGGAATGTTTACAGTAATAATGCAATTGGTTACAGAGCACAATTCGAGACGGTAATAGAAAAAAATATCTCTTAGTATTAACTTTTCCAATATATAGTTTTCCAATATATATTTTTGAACTATAGTTTTCAATATATATTTTTGAACTTATATATTTTACAGTATATATTTTTGAAATTTTCCGACTTGCATTCTTTGAAGTCTCCCGTAGGAAAAGGTCAATTTCTCACTCTAGTTTTAGAAAAATTTTTACTTTCTCTGTGCAAACTTATTGCTTGATAGTTGCTTATGTCTGCTTTTAGGATGGTTGCGGACAAGAAAAAGTATCTTTCATAACCATCGAACGACGGCACAGTGCGTCTTATTCTTCCATTACTCCCAAGTCGCTAGCGAATACGAAGTCATGGTCGGAGGATACGAGTGGAAGTGTCAATCACGTTCCTAGCGCGGAATCCGAGGCGAAGTCGCAAATGTCGGAGCATATGCACCAAGGTGAAGCAATGGTTTACTGGGTGAGCTATATGGAAGGTGAGCAACGCGTGATGCTGTTCACACAGCACGAGAGCGTGTACCTTAAAGCGAAGAGCATTATTGATCCTGAGGCGAGCAAAAGAGAAATATTCTTATCAATTGCAGCTATTGGAATAAGTGTTGTAAGTAAAGAGTAATTGCTTGTTTCGTATTGCTTGTTTCGGATGTAATCAATTGAAGATTAATTTTTTTTTGTAGGTTGTACATGAATCCAATCCTCATAACACCAGACGGGAGTTATTGTACGCTAGTGTGATCGACTCAGCCGCGCATTGGGAACTTTACTTCAGCAAACGATGGAGGAATTTATCACTGGAGCTGAGCGCTTGGTTAGAAAATAAATACACGAATTCCGCGAAGACGGCACAGCTTGAGAATTTCATTGACGTACGTCTAATGTTAATTTTCAAAACTATATTACAAATGTAATTGCATTCATTATATAGAACTTATCAACTTTGATAGTTACATAAATTCTGTTCGGTTTTACATTTAATAAAAGTGTTATTCATTATACAAACATCTTGAATAATAAATATTAAATGTAAAATATACATTGCTAGGTCAGTACAGCAGAAAATATTTTCTTATATTGTGAACTATGAATATTTCTTTTGCTTATTACATAGCGAACATCCGTCTCTAATAGAATTTTCCAAATCTTTTGTAGGTTGACTTCACAAAAATGCAAATGACCAAACCATTCTTTGGCAAGTTGCGAAGAACGTATTCGCCAGGTATCTGGTTACATTGTAGAG